TTTAGGGTTTGGTACTAATAGCTACTACAGCAGGTGGTATTGCGTAGTAGTCGTGGTAAACCCTGAGCTTTATTTCAACCCTAAACCCTAAGCCCTAAACCCCTAAACCCTGAATCCTAAACCCTAAATCAAGGGATTCGGAAAGCATGCTCCCCAAGCAACCGTGCTTCCAGGATGGAAGGGTGCTCGCTCAAGGTCCCGATGGCATTTCAGAACACATGAGTGGCATGCCGAAAACACACATCATTCCAGGGCAGACATTAGAGAGACAAGAACTTTCACAGATCATTCTAAGACATTTCTTTGTCTCCGGGTTTCCAGATTCCAGCCATGTGGCATTCTCGTGTGAGGGAGGTGGCTCCTTTCGTTTACGATCCCGAGTATGGGGTCGAGGGGCCCTTTTTCCGGAGGGAGAGGTGTTTGTACATGCTGGAGTTTGGGAACACCCTGGTGGCAACTGCTATGGACAGAGCGCCCTGTTTGCGATTGGTTCTGTGCGAGTGTCTGTGAATGCTCAGAAAACCAAGTAATAAGATGCTCCTGTGATCGAGGAGGGGGTGCCAGCCGTGGGTGTGGATGGCATTGCCGACTCCGAGAGTCTTTTGACGAGGGTTGGGCAGGATTTGTGCCTTTTGGCAGCAAGTGGAGTCCTGTTGTCTGATCTTGTCAGTGGCTTGGCCAACAATTTTCTGACTCAGGCTTGATCATGACAGCAAGGGTTCTTCCCGGCGGCTTGGTCCTCATCGTGTGCCTGGATTTAATTTTAACTCATTCGCTCATGATGCTAGGTACGTTCCTTTTGTATCCTTTTCAATAGAAACTCAGGCCCTTCCAGAGTGGCCAATCTGCCAGCGAGGAGGAGGTGAAGGAGGTCGCAGTGACTCGCCTTGGATTTGTGGTCGCTGTTGCTTCGTGCTTCTTGAACATGGCCATTCTCAACCAAGGCATTCCTGCCTCTGGTGGCCAAGCTGTGCGCCGAAATCAAGGTGCGATTGGTTATCCAGATCAAGCTGGAGTATGCCGCCTGGATGGAGAGCGAGGTCCTTCTAAAGGACCGTCTGCGCTAATTTGGGACTAGGAAGGCTAGGAATTGAATCGGGTGTAGTTTGTTGAGATTAGCAATATATCTTGTTCTTCATTGCATTGCAAGCAGGAAGCCAGCACCGAGCTGCGGTATACCAAAGCGGTTTTTCCGATGTCAGCCTTTGGAAGCAGGAAGCAGTCTCTTGTTCGCATTGTTTTTTCGTGGCTTGAGCCTGTGGCATTGACAGATTGATGTGGACAAGGAGCCGCAAAAGCGAGCCCTGGCACATGATGATGTTGTGGGGCTCCGACCAGCTCCTGATCTGCGGCATGAAGCACATCGCCACGAGACTCCTGTGGATGCTGCTTGTTCAGAATGTAGTACAGAAGTCAGTTGAGCTCGTGGCTTCTGTCCTGTGCTGCCCTTTGCCTCACACTCAGGTTCAAACGGGTGGCCAACCGGCAAGTCGTGGGGTTCCCCACGAGGCCGTCTTTTGAAGAGGACCGCACCGCGACCTTTGTGTTTGGAGCCACTCGCCTATAATTTAAGATTTGCCTGGGGTTGCAATACTCCAAAATAGAGCTGAAACCCGGTTCAGGTCGTGGATGTGCTGATGCTGAGACACAAAAGAACGGTGCAGAGCTTGATGGCTCTGCACATGGTCCGGGCTTTGGACGGGATTGCCAGAGAGTTGGTGAAGCAGGCCGGGGCGATTTAGATTGGCAAGGATTCATTACAACACTTGAAAATTCTACATTGGTCCCTGAGGATCTCGATGGCTGTTACATTGTCGCCAGACGCATCCCCGAGTTTTACTGCAGCATACGCCGGGATATGGTCTTCGAGGCTATGAAGTTCTCATCTACA